GAGCAAGGTACCCCCTATACTATACCTGTACATTTGGTTTTTCTTGCCTAAATGTAGAACCTTACTTTTTTCACCATTGAATTTCATTTTGTTAGATAGCGCCCAGTGTTCAAGTCTGTCCAGGTCCTCCTGTATCTTAAGCCTGTCTTCTGGAGTGTTGGCTATTCCTGCCAGCTTGGTGTCATCCTCAAATTTGATGAGTTCCCCATCTATCCCCTCGTCCAAATCATGTTAATCTCCCCACCACCACCACACCACCAACCCTTCATTTCTCTTTGAAGTTTCTCTTCCCAGTAGGATCAGGGGAGGGACTGGAATCATGTCCCCAGCAAGATAGTCTCCTCTATTCACATTGAGTTTTGTTAATGCTACAATGGTGATTATATTGGGGGTGATGACCATGACTGAGGAAGCCAGAACTGGGGACTTCTTCATCCAATAAAGTGGAAAGGTCTAAGCTCTCCAACAACGCACGCATTCTGCATGTTCCAAATATTCAATTTCTTTACTTCCTCTTTAAAAGATTTCATGCACCAGGAATTAGAAATGGCCCTTTCCACCCTAATCATTAAAATTCTTGTCTTTCCCAACCTTCCTTTTTAACTTTTTTTAATTCTAAATGCTAATCCTCTCTTCCAAACTCCCTGTTTATATTCCCCAAATAACCAATCCATTCTCAAAATGTTCACCAATATCTTACCCGTTGGCTGCAATTGTGGGTGCCGATTGCTGCAACACAGAGAAAGAAGGAGGGATAGAGAAACAGTAAAGTTACTTTTAGGTCCATCTCAAGTGACTGTTTCTCAAATTCTCCCTCCAGTTTATGGACAGGAATAATACTGAATGTAATTGGAACTAGTTTTTAAGTGAACTAGAACCTCCACTTGTTTGGGCTAGAAAAACAGCTAATTTTAAAGAATGTTCTGTGGTTACTCTTTCAAAATTGGAGGACTTTTCTGTTCATAAAATTGTTAGGGTGAGGGACAAATTGTTAGCATGAGGGACATAACTAGTTACAAAGCTACTTCCTCAAGCACTCTGTGGTTTTATGTGGGAATGAACAGAACAGGATAACAGAGTTGGAAGGGACCTTGGAGGTCTTCTAGTCCAACCCTCTGCTCAAGCAGGAAACCCTATACCTCAGACAAATGCCTATCCAGTCTCTTCTTAAAAGCATCCAGTGATGGAGCACTCATAACTTCTGATGGCAAGTTGTTCCACTGATTAATTGTTCTAAATATCAGGAAATTTCTCTTTAGTTGTAGGCTGCTTCTCTCCTTCATTAGTTTCCATCCTTTGCTTCTTCCCTTCCCTTCTGGTGCTTTGGAAAATAGGTTGACCCCCTCAAATATTGGAATATTGCTATCATGTCACCCCTAGTCCTTCTTTCCATTAGACCAGACATACCCAATTCCTGCAACCGTTTTTCATATGGTTTAACCTGCAGCTCCTAATCATCTTTGTTGCTCTTTTCTGCACTCTTTCCAGAGTCTCAGTTTTGAATGACCTTGGAAAACAGGAGGAAGATCCATTGCCTAGGTTGCAAATCTTTCTCTCGTCTCCCAAGGACTTTCCCACATACCATCATGCTTGTTCCTGAAACATTCAGGAATGCATGAAGCCATGGTGGCACAGCGGTTAGAATGCAGTATTGCAGGCTGATTCTGCCCACAGCCAGGAGTTCAATCCTGACTGGCTCAAGGTTGACTCAACCTTCCATCCTTCCGAGGTTGGTAAAATGAGGACCCAGATTCTTGGGGGCAATATGCTGAAACTGCCTAGAGAGGACTGTAAAGCATTATGAAGCGATATATTAGCCTAAGTGCTATTGCTATTCTTCTATGGCTTATCTCTTTTCTGGAAAAATGAGCAATCTAGTAAATACGCATGCTTCCTAGAAGCATATGATTGGCCACAGAGAAAGCACAGGCTGGCTACGTGAACCTTTGGCCTCATCCAGTTGGATGGGTCTACGTTTAAACATATAATAAGCAGGGAAAGTTAATTTGGGATGTTCCGAGACCTCGCAATTAAACAATATTATGTGATGGGACTCAGGAAGTGGGCCTCCTCTGTCACACCACTTGCCTCTGGAATAGCTTCCCTCTGGACATCCTAGAATTCCTACTCTGCCCTCATTTGAAAGATCATGCAATTATAGCTTTTCCCCCAAGTCTTAGAGTGGGTGACAATTTTTTTAAAGGATAATGTCTGTTGGGCTGGACTTTTAATGTAGGGGGATATGCAGGGCGGAGGTGCTCTTTGTTATATAGTGTTTGTACTGTTTTTATTGTTATAAGACAAGAGTCATCATGGAGTTGGGCAAACTTATAAATTTAAATAAATAGAGAAATAATAAACACATTAGACTATGGACCAGGGAGGGCTTATGGAGGCTGCTTAGGCTTAGTTTTCTCCAGCAGCCAAAACATAATATGCCAGAGGGGGTGGGATAGTCCTCCAAACTGGAGCCCTGCAGTTGGCCAGCTTCCTTTGGGTTTTTCCTCCTTGCAACATAGAAGTTTTAGTTCCGTTTCATCCTGGAAAACACTACTTTCCTGCTGGATCTCTTTGTTCTTCTGATCCTGAGATGGACACTTTATTGTGTGAATATGTCCTCCAACAGTAAGCAGCAGAGCTGAGGCAAGGAGGGCACTTGGACAACCACAAATGTAATACTGTAAATATGCTACAATCTGTGGAAGTCCTTGTGCCAGTTTAACCTCCAAAGTCATTCAATGGTGCAAATAAAATGGAAGTCGCTTGTCTGAAAAAAAGATTCCACAAGCAAAAGCAACAGATCCATTGCAGCATTACTTCAGGCATTTGCTACTAAAGAAATGAGCTGCTTGAAAAGATCAAAATGCACAACAATGACCTTTTGTTTGAAATTCAGCGAAATGGATACACCAAAGTCTATAAAGTTGGGAAAGGGAAAGACAAGGAGAGGATGACCAGCACCAACGTGGATAGACTCAGCTACAGTGGCAATGGGTGTGCTATTAGAAGACTTGAAGGACCAAGTTGGAGATTGATCCTCCTGGAGAAGATACATCTTGTTGGCACAAAATCAATCCAAACCTGCAGCATATATGTAGGCAAAGATAATCTACTTCTTCAACTGTTCCAAGCAGAGCTGTGGCCTCAGCTCTACGATGGACCTTTTATAGTTGTTCTCTTGCTCAGAATTCAAGCTTATCCTCTCCTACCTGCTTATCATCACAACACTGACCTGGGTGCGTCGTTCTTCATGACGGTGTTGCATCTCTACTGGGTCTTCCCAAGGTTTCCCAAAAGCATCCCGGACAGGAGGCTCCCAGCCACTGCAGAATGTTAGGTTGTAGGGAGCTGCATAGCCCCTGGGGAAATCCACCCTTGATGGACAAAGCAAATAATAGGAACAATATGAATTGGGAGGAAGGAGTCAAAGTCATGACATTTTCAATCACTGCAAGGTAAGCAAACCACCCAGGCCACAGGTGTCAACCAATTTAGAACAAGCCCACCACATTGTGTCATAAATGATTTGGTCTAATCCACCAAAATCTTCTCAACATCTTTGAGAAGATTTTTGAAATCCAAATTCCAAAGTTTGCAATTACTTGTTAAGTAATTAACAGATCAAGGTCCAGATCATCTCTGACATCACTTCACTTCAGGGAGCTATTTCACCAAAATTAAATAGCCAATAGCATCAAGAAAGGGACATGGAAGTTGCAATATTTAGAAGACTGCAGAAGGAAGAAGTGGAAGTGAATAGATTAAACCACATCCCATAGGGGAAAAATTAAGAGGGCAAAAATAATAACAAGGGAAAACAAACCCAAATCCCCTTACCTGGGCTTAGTCCAGTTTTCACCCAGAGAATGCCACAATTCTGTTTCCTTTTCTCCTAAGCAGCTTCGCATCAAAGTCACGGCCTCCAGAGTTAACATGGGATTGCGCAGTTCAGAAGCAAATTCCACACCCCCAGAAGCGTCCACAATCTGAAATGGGAAATGAGAATCAGAATCCAGATTATCTATAAAGGCATTGGTATGGAAGCCTGGTTGGCACAAAAAGAAAGCCAGAGTTAGATTTTAAAAAAAATGGAATCTTTTGATTTATGATAAAGGATCCTAATGTCTCAACTAATGGGCTAAAGGGAGATTTTTAGATGAAGGGAAATATGATTATTGGATTTAAATATTGTTGTTAAATGATAAAAATAAGGGATTAACTGGCTTAATATTTAGGATTTAGACTTATAAGGGAAATGAAAACTAACGATTAGGAATTAGCTTCGAACTATTGTTTAGCCCAGATAATATAGATCAGTGGTGACGAACCTATGGCACGGGTGCCAGAGGCGGCACTCAGAGCCCTCTCTGTGGGCACGTGCGCCATCGCCCCAGTCCTAGGCCTTCAGCTGGGTTTTATAAAACCTTTTCGCTTTAGGCCTCCGCCGCCGTGTGCAAAAAAAAAAAAGGTTCAATCAATCAGTCAATTTCAACTTCTCGCGGGAAAAAAAAGATCTTGCAAAGTTGGAATTGATTGATTGAACTTTTTAGTCCCACCCAGTCTGCCGTTACCACCGCAGCCACACCCACCCAATGGGCCACACCCACCCAATTGGCCACACCCAGCCAATGGCCACACCCACCCGGCACCCAACGATGCACAAGTGGGTTTTGGGTTGCAGTTTGGGCACTCGGTCTCTAAAAGGTTTGCCATCACTGATATAGATGATGGACTTGAGACAATAAAGGACACTCTATTAGTAAGTGATGATGTATTAGGATGAGAAATAGAAAATGTTTATGAAATAAGATAAGAATATATTTAAGTAAGTAATATGTATATTCTAGATATGATAACTTTTATGTAGTGAAATAAAGGAAATTTGGATTACCCGAAACTCAAACACTATGGATATTAAAGGTTAAATTGGAATATTGTAATAAAAAATTAAAAATTAGGTAAAACTTAAAAACAGGGCATGGATATGTATAAGGGAAAAAATTATTTATAAATGTTTTAACTAAGTTTGTTATAATTATAAATCTACTAGCCTAAATGTGATATAGCAAATGTTATGGGAAATAGAGAAGGAATTTCTGATGATGTAACCTGAGATATGTACTAAAGATTTTGTTATTGAACCACTGATTACCCAGTCACCACGCTGCTTTCCAAATACTTAATGTAAAACTGGAAAACCAATAAAATTTGTTTTTTTAAAAAAGAATCCAGACTACCTGTTCCCCTGGAGACTCGATCTTCTCCCAGAGAAATTTACTACTACTACTACTACTAATAATAATAATAATAAAGTTGGAAGGGACCTTGGAGGTCATCGAGTCCAACCCCCTGCTCAGGCAGGAACCCTACACCATTTCAGACAAATGGCTGTCCAGTCTCTTCTTAAAAACTTCCAGTGTTGGAGCATTCACCGCTTCTGGAGGCAGGTTGTTCCATTGGTTAATTGTTCTAACTGTCAGGAAGTTTCTCCTTAGTTCTAAGTTGCTTCTCTCCTTGATCAGTTTCTGTTAAGTCCGGAGAATAATGGTGCTTGAGACGAAGCATCTTCCAACAAGTCTTTATTGTTTGCTCCATTCTACGAACAACCCGAGCAGAGGCACGCAGGCCTCTATTTATACCCTCAGATCCCCGGGCAAGTTTAACCAATCATGAGGCGGACTTTTCCCGCCTTGCGCATGCGCACAACGCTGGCGCCGCTCAGTCTGGTCCCGGGCAGCTTCTGCAATTGCCCGGGACTCTTGCAACGTCCCGAGCCTGCCTCTTGCAGGCTCAGGACACAACACCCCTTCCCCCTGGATGAAATAAGATTGCGCCCACATAGACGCCATCCTATAGATGGTAATATAATTAATTAATGATGAGTTAATGTTACGCAATGTATAAGGTGTGGGACTGTTCCTTTGAACTAGATCCAGTGACCCCCCTGACCTTGTTTCATTAAGACAACCAGCCAGAACCCTTAGGTCAGCTATTTCTATGTACCTGTTCACCTTACATAATCGGCTAGGTATTTGGGAGGGCCTCTTACCCTGAGCGACCTTCTCAGACCTGGAGAGTTTGTATTGTTATCCCCGTTGCTACTTGCACTTGGTGAAGTGCCCTGTGAATGTCCAGTGACTTCAGTTTGACTTTCCAGCCCGTCCCCCGTATTTGAGCAGTCATAGCCCTGTTGGTCGCTAAACCTGGTTGATCTACCCTCGATGGAGTTGTCTAACCCCTGTGAATTCATTTCCGTGTTTCCTGAAGGAGTGCGGAATTCCTGGCTCGTTTCTGTAGTGCTAGGGACTAGGGATGCCTCCCTGTTAGCCCTGATGCGTGAGGAC